TCGCACGGGGCGGCAGCGGCTTTCCAAGGCAGCGGATTTGCCCCGGGGCCCAGCGCTGCCCGGCTGCGAACGGGCGCCAGTGCCTCCTCCGCGGCTTGGGGAGCCTGTTTGTAGGGGAATTTGTGGTTTTGTTCCTTCTTACAGTTCTCACCTCCGTCCAGCCTGAATGAGAATGTAGCAAGGGCTATACTCGTGCTTTAAAACTTAAATCTGAGCTATTCTTTTTCCATTCCCCGGCTGTGGTGGCTTGGTATACATTTTCAGGACCTTTTAAGTAACGTTTTTATGTATCATTGTCAAAATATGCATGTGTTCTGTTAATCTCGCTGTTCCAGATGTGCTTTCAGCTTTTAACAAAGAGGTTTTGTGCACCTGATGTTCCAGCCCAGCTTCCCCAGGCAAGTCCTGGGCAGCAGACGGCTACCTCTGCTTCCTGCTCTTCACCACCTGGTTAGCACTCCTGCCTCACAGTTCAGGTACAACAACAACAACAAGAAAATGGTATCGTGGCCATTAGAAATGTCTCTTTAAAAAAAGATCCCTGGTTTTCTGCTTCCTGTATACAGCAAGGTTCAGCTGCATCGTTCTTAAAGGCCACCTGTGTTTCTCTGGATTTCCTTGCCAAAAAAGTTCAGCATTCATTAGGTCCACTTGGATGCACTTCAGCATCCTGGCTGTGTTCGTGTTCTAAGGAGCTGTGATCTAGTTAACACTAGACAATGAGTTCTAGAATGAACAAAACAGCACCCTCCTAACCAGACCAAGTAGCAGCACACAAATACCACTGAGTAATTTCAAAGAAACATGTTCCATGAGGTGTGTGCTCCGTGGTGCTGTGTGCAGGTCTGTATTAGCTGTCACTCCACTAAGCCGCACAGAGCAAACGTATCATGCAGGAAATAATGGTTTCTTTCAAGCAGGCCCATGGAAATTCTTATTAAACAAATTTAAAAGCCTTCTACTCCAATTCTCCACAGGCAGAACTGACATCTAGCGTAAATATATACAATTCCTCATTTCCCAGTAGCCAAACTGGTGTTTTTTCATTTACACACTGGCATTTCACACAATTTAGAGAAGGGCAACTCTATCAACTGCAGAATCCATCAAAATTCAGTTGATTCACCTACATGTTTACCAGGCATACTTCCTGCAATTAGGAAAGCCTATTGCATTCTTTCCCACAGCAAGTGGGCTGTGCTGCTCTCAGATCTAGGGCACCTGTGCTCCTGATGGAACTACCTCTGTCCTTTCTTTTTGCCAGTGTGAAAATTCCTATCTCCTGCAAGAGAGAGATGCAGTCACTGATTTACCCTTGCCAAATCCTTTCACTTCCATCATAAAGTAACTTTCTGTCCCCAAGAGTAAATATTAGGAAGCAGTTACAAAAAATTTAAGAGCAGGTAACATATATTACAGAGATATTGGAAGTCAGCAGGATCTCAACATCACACTAAAAATACATGACAAGTAGGCATTCAGTAAAAGGAAGTCAGAGGAGTTATGTGAGGGTATCTACCTGCAACTTTACTGGTCATTTAACTGGTTTTCACTTGGCATTCTTTACTTTCTGCTTTTACCATGTAGCTCTGTCATGTTACTGCTGAATTAAACCAAGGTCACGAGAGGGGGCTTGGGTAGGAAAGGAGAGGGGCTAGAAAAAGTGGCATAAATTTACTGTTTTGGAATATCCAAGAACTTGAAGCCAAAGCCACTGCCAACGCCAGGTGTGCTTTTCCAGGAACACAGCTGTGGTGGAAACAGACCAGAAGCATAATGTGGTCCGGTGTTGGAGAACATCCTATGTATATGCTAAATTTAAGTTGCTTAAATATTGAACAGGTAAAAATGGTAAAACACTTTCTCAAACTAAAGCATTAATGAATTAATTTAGAGTTGGAAAAGTGTGTTTTAGAAATAACTGTATAACGATGTGAAAAAGGCACTAAAAAATGTACAGGAAGCAGATACTGTGCTTGCAGGTGTCCTTTAACAGCAGAAATGAGTTCTTGTTCAAGTGGAAAAAAAACAAACCAAAACAAAAAAGCCCAGGTTACTTTCTGAGAACGACTCCTCCCAAGACAAGGCTGACTGACAGCTGTCTGACTGGCATCAGACTGGCAAGATAAAACCATGTTGCGACCTGCTTCAATTAGGAAAAATAATGAGATGGGGAAAAAAATACACTCATGGAACACCAAAACAACCCTGCACTCTGTGGAAGAACTGAAGTCACGCTTTACTAGGTTTGATTTTTTTATTTTAAGGTGTAGTGATACTTAATACGCCCCATTCTGATGAAAGGCTGTTAAATCTTCAAGATTGATTTAAGCTTCTCAAACACAGCAATGAAGAGTCAAGACAGTTTTGTACTAGAGGAATTAGATCTCAGCACAGGTGTTTTATTTTGAATGATGTACACCTGCTCACAACACAGTAAGCTCACCTAAGAAGCTCAGCAGCCCCAAAAGGGGAAGTTTCCTTATGCTTTCCTCCCTGCTCCCACCCAGGCTGTTCCATGGCTCCTCACCAGTGGATTCCATTACATACCCTCAGCTACCTGGGGAAGTTTACAGCCTAGGTTAATTTGTCCCCAAACATCTGAAGCTCTACTGATTTTAATGCAAGACTTAGGAAAATGCCAATACAATTCCAACACAGCAGCAACCCTTTCTGATCAGGTAACATTTAGGAGGATTATTGCTTTGCCTATCTCCCTTAAAGCAGTTACACACATAAGAGTGCCTACGCAAACTCTTAGGTGCCAGGAGAAAACATCTGATGCTTCCTAACGACTTTTTAAAAAAAGTTACAGAAGCAGTACTAGGCTATCAGCTTTCAAACTAGAATTCCAGTTTAAGACTGGAACTACAGTTTTCTACTTGCTACTGCAACTAATTATACTATGTACTGCAAGTATCATTCCCTGCGTTACCACCTATCTCTGGAAAAGTGTATTTTTATCAGTATCAAGAACAACAAAAAAACTGAACCATTTAGATTGTGAGTTGTCATAGTCCACACTGGAACTACAGAAACATCTTTTCATAACCAAGATTTATTTGGCTTCTTTTTGGTGATCACAGACACTACGAACAATTTTACAATTATTTTTTATTGACATAGTTTTTTAAATCTAAAAACGTTGTTGTGTTTTTTTTCCAAAGCCTATTTCAAATATTTTTCATTGGATCTTTGTAGACAGGCTGTCCTTTAAAACTGGGATGTCAAGTTCCAGTATCTCGAACACTGACATAACAAGTTACTCTGCCAAGAACACACTTCTACTTAGTATTTAAAGATATAATAAACGTTTCCAGTATTTTGCATCACAGCTACAAAGTTGTTGGAAAAAATAAAGCTGCAACTACCAAAAATAACTTTGTCACAGATATAACATCACTCAGCAAGAAATCCAACACTAGGGAGCAGTTTTATTAGATAAGCAATTCTACTGATGGTACAACCACAGATAAGTAACTAAAATGTTAAGACATTCTCAACATATCATCACGAATTCCAAAGTCAGATCTGTGTTATGCTTCCTTTATTAGGATAGAAAAACTGTCCCTCACTGTCTGTGGAACGTGAAGCTTGATCACGGCTTCAATGCTCTCTCCTTAATGTAATATGCCATTAATTTCTGGTTTCATAGAAAACAGACAACCAGTACATGATTTTACCACTTAAAAAAAGCATTTACACTTATCTAAATATGTAAAAAAATGGGTTGAGTTGGGATTCTCTCCTTTTTAAAAACTGTGTTTTCTAGAACTACTAAAAAACTTGCATTTACAAAATACTTGATAAAAATATTCCTCTGAATTGTACAAGAAGAAAGGTGTAAGGGCCACCCGCTAAAGACTTGGTACCCAGTATTACTCAGTCTTGGCTTCTTTCTCTATTGCTGCATCAGATGCTGGGGGCTGAAAAGACAGAAAAACAGAACGCATCAATGCAGGAAGTTTTCAAGTGATTCAGCTTCTTACTTTGGAGTATTTTTAATGCAGAAGTTAGCTAACTTAACATACAGAACAACCATGGCTTGTTTCTACATACCGTGCTTTACAGTCTTAATAAACTGGTGTCATGATCTGCTTGTTTCTCTTGGATAATGACCTACTAAACCCAGGCTGTCTTGAAAAGGCTTCTGTCTCCTCAGATATATCTGTATGACTTTCAGAATGTTGCTATTGTTACTACTCAATACACACTGCAAAGGATTTTTATTTTTTTTAAAGAAGAAAGCCTATTTCAATTATTGCCTTCATGACAGAAAAAGGGAGCTTTTAAGCCTACTAAGCTAAAAATCCCTGTAGATAGGGTGTTTAGAAAAGACATTATAAATACACTTCATGCAGTTAAATTTCAATGCAGCACTAACATTCTCAAACCTTAGCATGTTTTAAAGTAACTGAGACTTATAAACACCATACTGCATTAAACAATTATGTAAAAATATACTAAGCGAAACTGAACTGTAGCAGCAGAGCTATACTGTCAAAGTCTCTATATGCTGCACCTCAACTTCAGAACAAGCTCATACAAAATTGACTAAAATTACAACTCCATTTAAATCAGACAACTCACTGCATTTGCAGTGTAGGTTTAAAAAACCAGAATGTAGTATATGTATTAACATATCAATTATACTTATGATTCCAAAGCTTTGTAGCGCCACCAGCAGAACAGATTGTACAGTCACAGCAGAACCTAAAGAGGAACCCTAACACCGCTGCAGACTTTGCTGGGGGAAGCTTTTGAAGGATGAAGTACAGAAGCCATTTCCATTCACAGATGTTAGTCTTTGCGTCATCAGAAGTCATCACTGGCTTTTCACCGTATCATGGATTAGCACCACCACCAATGACACTATTGTCCTGATTGAAAACAGCAACATCCAACAGGACAGCCTATACCGCTGCCTCTTCTAGATTTAGGTATTACATTAAACCTGCCATCTTGGCTGGCGAAACCAACATGAGACCAGCACGAAGATGTAACCCAGAAGTAGTTATCCATACCTTATAAATGTGTATCATCTCTGCATTAGTGTACTAAATAGACCCCAGTTGAGAAATACTGCAAAATTTAACTTTTGCTGTTACTGCCAAAATGCTACCTGCACAATTAAAAGACCACATTATGCAACAGTAATACAGAGCTACACAGAAAGTTAAGTCAGCTAAAGCACAATTTTTCACACGGTAAGCTTCACAAATGAAAAACTGTTACCCCAAAGTAAGTTGTCTTGTACACTCAAGTACCATCCTGTACCTTCCTCACCTACCAAAATGCATCATCTACCTAAAAATCAAATGTTCTTCTCCTCTACCTGAAGATCTATCTGCACACTGATAGATCAGTGTGCTAGAATTTAGATAGACGCTTTTTCCCCATCTTAAAAATGTTAACTTTTCAACACAACAACTAGACAGGAAGCATGAATCACATTTAAATGAAAAAATCATCTATCTGATCAGCAAACTCAACTGAGCTAATTGAAATGAGTGAGGTATTAAATACTGCAGAAACCTGAGACTAATTCTAGGCCTGTTACCACATGAAAACTTGTGTTTCATCCAGTTGCTACCAGCTGGCTTAGGAAGAGGCAGGCACAGCTTCTCCCTACAGATCTTGTCCTAAATTTAAAACTAAATTATGTCCACATTCCAGAAAAAGAACAAAGTGCGGAATATGTCTCAAGTTAGACGTTCAGTGATTCCAAAAACTTCAGCAACACAGCCATTTTAGCTCAGTATTACAGCCAACACTGACTTGGCATGTTAATTTCTTCAGCAACACCAGCTACTAGTAATTCATCATGCACTTTCCCTTCCCCCTTTGCCAACCTGTCCCTTCTAACCAGCAGTGTCTGTATCTATGACTCCTGTAAATGTTATCTTAACTTCGGTTAAGTCATTTCAGCTTTGAGTTTTCAGTGTAAACTCATTCCAGTCCCATGAAAATTAATAATCCATTTCTCAAAAACACTTCTACAGCAAGAAGGAACTCTTCTTCCAGTAACAACAAAGACAGACTGAAACACAAACCAAACTCCCCAAAGACAGAAAAGGGCCCTACCCTCCAGAGCAATATTCTCTGTATACGTATTATTTTGTCAGTACCTACCTTCAGGGAAAACTGATCCTCTCTGAAGGACCATCATCCTGTATCAGAACTTTGGTAGAATTCTCACCCTTTTCCTTAATTTGAGAGACTGATATGACATTCCTGCAACTCTTTTTGGGACAACTAGAAATTTCCAGTAAATCTACTAATGTTTCAATAGCGTACATCTTCTCGTGGCAGAAATAGGCTATTATAAAAACTGTGTATGTTCCTAGCACGTGTTTAGATAAACCAGTGCCATAAGTTATCCAGCTACTTTGACCCAAAGAATATAGACAACTTTACCTCCTCACTTTTGGCTTCCCCATTTTCTGCAGGCAAGTTGTCCTTTGTCTGTTCTTGGTTTGTCTCTTCTGTCTGTTTTCCTTTAGGCCCCTTTTTCCCCTTTGATAGGGCTTTCTTTTCTTCAGATTTATCCTATAATGAAATAAATTTCCAGTAAGTAAATTCCTATGACCTACTAGACAAACTTTGACAATAATAAAAAAACACACAAACCCAAGAGGGACTTGGAAAAACAACAGTTTTTAAAAATGATAAAGACTAAACTCAGTATTACAAATTAAGGTAACAATTTCATAACATGTAGACATCTGTCTGTTGATTGTCAAAATATATTTTTCTTCATTAGTACTTTAAAAAACACACCAAGTAACTCCATAATGAGCAAACTTCTCCCAGTCAGAAAAAACACTGTCAGTGAAGTTTTAAAAATCTTCAGCATTGATGCCAAGAAGCATCTTCTGATGAATCAAGTACAGTAAAAAAGTACCAATTAAAAATAAAAATACATCTATCATTTGACTGGTATGTAACAGTGAAATATTTCTGCAACCCATTTAAATGAGGTTCAGAAATAGCTACAATGAGAAGTACTGAAGCTAGAGAAGTAAAACACAATCAGAACAAAAGAGATTTTTACACTAACTACAAGCAAGTTTCCAAATGACCAAAGATTATAGTGACAGGCTGAGTATTAGAACAAAGACGATGAAACATAAATTATACATTTGAATTGCCCATGATAAAAGCAATTTTTAAAATTGATATTGTTCACATAATTCACGTTGCAGCAACATTCCATGGGGACCTCGTGCAAGGTATACTTAATATTTTACAAGTACAATTGTTTGTGATGTTATTGGTTTACATGAGTATGTTCCCAGCTGCCAACTGTGGACATGTTTCTAGAAGCAAAGTAGTTATAAGCAGCAAGTCAGTATCATGTGTATCAGTTAGCATCAATAGCAGCATTAACAATTAGATGGACCACATAAAAAGACACTGGAAAAGAAAAAAAAAAAGAATCAGAACTGAACTAAAACTGGGAACTTTCCTCAAACTCTTTAGGCTTGCAACTTTGAGAATGGGAGCGCACTGATATTCAAACCATTGGAATGAAGGTACATTACTGGTAAGTAACTGTTGAGTAGGATTAACAAAATGAAAATGTGAAGAAGCCTGCAAAGCAGAGCTCTACATTAGTGTATTTGAAATGCTCTTAATCCATACATTTAAAAGAAAATCTTATCACCACAACAGAACTTACTTAAACACACATACCAACCAGCCATCCCATACACAGTCATCTTTTGTTTCTCCCAAGAAACAAAGAATTTTACAACTCGGTTATTGGCACTATGAAGGCTACAGTGACAAATGGAACAATCATACATGATGCTTACTTACACATACACACAAAGACCTGAAAGCCAGACTACATGAATGGAAACTCAGATCTTTTCCAGTGTCTCCCTAAGTAATTAAAGTATTTTTTCCTCTCCTAACATACTGCTTTTGTGAAAATACTCTATCCCCGTTTAGTATGTACAGTTGCTTCGACAAACAAGTAGTTCCACCCAGTACCAAACTACCAACTAACAAACCAGAATCGGCGCCCACACTTGTGTGCAGGGTGAGTGCATAACAGAGATCTGCCCCAACAGTGGGGGAATGTACCTGTAGACACTGACAGAAGCATCTGAAAATGATACTTCAGCTACATGAACGTTCTCACAAGGACAAAATGAGTGAAACCCGTGCCTCGACCACAGGAACTGGGACGCCACCACCAGGCACCTGCACGGCGAACTCCAGCACCTCCTCTCCCTCCCCATTTTCCCAGCGACTCTCACCTTTGCCGCTAACTTTTTTGGCTTCGGCTCTGCTTTAGCAGGAGCAGGTTTCTGAGAAGAAAAAACGAGAAGAGGTTCAGCCCTGACCAACCCCCTTCCCGCTGCAGGGAGGAGCTTCCCCACCCGCACCCCC